TCTTGGCCACTATGGTATACTTTACTTAATATTTCTAAGTCATACAATTTACAAATTAATTTTCACAAAGTTCAAGCTCATAATGATGATTATTTTAATAATTTAGTCGATATACTTGCAAAGCAATACATTCTTGCACCTTTCCTATACTTTATATTAGTGTTCCAAAAATGTAAATCGGATCGGATTCAGATTGTAATCTAATCCCAACCGTCAGATTGAATTTAGCTTCAAAAATTCAGATTGGGCCCGGATTGAGCAGAATTGGGCCTAATTTAAAATTAGGGTATAAATTTTAAATCAATTACGTCATAAGAGTCCCATCCAGAAAATTTTCCAGAAATACAAAAATCCCATAGAATTATCTGAAAATACACATTAAGTTATTCGAAAATGTCCTTTAATTTTCGAGTAATTTACTGGTATTTTTTGAATAATTCCATGGGTGTTTTGTAAAATTATGAAATTATGCGTTTCGGAAAATTTGCATTTCAAATTAATGTCTTCCAATGATTAATAGCCAGGTGGACTTTTAAAAAAAATCTTGTGAAATTTTTTTATAAGATGTCGGCCGGCCACGTTCATTTAAAAGTCGCATGTTAAAAAAAAATCTTGTTAAAAAAAGTCAGCCGGCCAAGTTTATTTAAAAGTCTCATGTCATATAAGCCATAATATTAAATTTGTATAGCCTTATGATAGTAAGCTTTTTAATACTAAGTAGGGCTTCGTTTCATTTTATTAAGTACAACAATGTAATAAATAATAGCTTGTCAAATAGGTTATAGACTGTGATTTGAAACAACTTAGCGATTAATGTCGTAGTAGGAAATAGTATGTAGTTGTAATATGTTAAGGGTCATATAGCTGTAGCATCATCGTAAGTTACTGTACAATAAAGACATTTATAAAGTTATTAACTAAATTCTTTACAATAGAGTAAAACAGTAAATAGTTACATCTATCAAAAATGATACAAGGAAACGAGTTTAGGGTGAGTAGTTTTGGGTCGTAGAATTGTCATATTGCCCTTATAATTTCCAATATGTTCCCAAAATATAGATAAATAAATATTGTTCTGAATAATAATAAAGAAAACAGAATAACTTTTTCCAGAAAAAAACTTGAATCGAAATCGGATTTGGTATTTAAGATTATCTGACTCACCTTTTGTTTTTCCTCGCTATTCCTGTTCATCGAAGTTTTAAACAAATATAAAGTCAAATATATATATATATATATATATGGATATGTGTCAGACAAATTCGCAAATACTTACGAAGCTTCTCTTATCTGGGATTTAAGTGATTTAATATCCGTTTCTTGTTCAGAAATTTTATTAGACACACGCAGTAATTCTTCAGTCTTAATAATATGATCAAGCTGCTGCTGTTGCGAAGCAACGATCGATTCAAATGAAGTAAGACTGGCTATTTTATTG